TGCAGATGATATAAAAGTGGGGGTAATGCATGGACTAGCGATCGTGACAGTGAAAGAGAATATGCTGACGGGACTGCAAAGCAGCCCCGCAAGTGCAGCCATGAGGCTCGTTGATCTTGAAGCGACGGTAATATGCTCCAATGGGTGCGTGGCCAGTTATACACCGGCAAACGCGGGCGAACTCAGTGATACTGTGTCCGAAGGTTGAAAGCCAAGGTCCCCCATTGAGGTACGATGGCTGTAGCAGCCGCCCATCAGGCTGTTGAATCTCTAAGAATTCAGAGCCTCGGTAGGTTGGATCCTGGAAAGTGGAATTCCATGAGTCCAGGACTGAGTGCGCAGCTCGGGAGCGTAGCGCATCTATAGAGTTGTCCGTCTTGCGACGTCCAACCCTGACTTTGAGTTCGGTGACATACTTGTGTGCCTCACCAACCCCCCCTCCTCTTGCCTATCCAAAAGGCCTCCACAGAGCCCTGACAACAACGAAGGACGCCAAACACATATGTTCAGCATTTGCACCCTCAACTGCCCATGTCTCACCCTCCATCATCACCACCACCTCCTATCCCCCCCCTTCTGACGCCCCTCCCCTGTCCAAATGGCCACCCAGGACAACAAACGATGCCAAACATCCAAGTTTGGTCTCATTTGCAGTTGTTCTCTGCCCTGCCCGCCCCTTCTCACCCTCTTGCCCTCCCTCTCGACTTCCGCCACCACCAATGACGCTTCTCGCCCCTCCAACTACCAGCCCCCATCCCTCTCATCCGTCCACAACCACCAATCACATCCAACAATGGCCCTGGATGCTGACACCCACCTGCCCATCACCTTTGAATGCCTTTCTCCTCCTCCTCCTCTCCCCAAGAGTTCATGTCTCACCTGCCTCTTTTAATCAGTAGTTATATTTTTGTCTGTATATTATCATACCTCAATCATAAAAAAATGTCTTATATTCCAACAGAATTCCACTATTGCCATTACTGTTTATGAGATTCTCTGTTTGTTGTGGAGTCTCAAAACAAACACTCGCTGGTTGATGGCATTTTAAGTTGTCTTTTGCCTCTTACTTCCATCTACCATCCATCTCTGTCTCAGACCATCAGATCCTACATTTTCTGGCCTGCTTTTGTGGTGTTGGATGTGGTACCAAACCAATCTAGCATCATTAGCACAGACTCACCATACCCAGAACTTCACTATCCATGCCTGCCTCTCTTCCAATGGCACATTCTGCTCTATCCATTCCTGAGCTTGTAGCTCGCATTGTCAATTCTGTCAATGTTTATCAGCCTTCATATTTATTGAATATTGCTCTGGTCTCTTCCATATTCTGTCAACCAACTCTTGCCAAGTTGTGGCATCTTTTTTTTTTTTTTTTTTTTTATCAACAATTTATATAGCGGTGCTCGATGGCAGCCCGCTCGCTATCTACAAACACGTACGCTACGCAGCCTGGTTACTAAGTTAACCACTAAAGGACGTCCGCCCCCCCAACCACGAGCCTTGTGGCTCAAACGCCGAAACTCCCCAGAGGGCAACCCACCTCGCAAAAACAGTGCATCGGGATAAGGGGAAGAGACCATCGAGGCCCCGCTAAACCCCAGAGCTGTCGAACGCTGTTCAGAGGCCACGCAGCACAAATGAAATAAAACAGCACCACCTGGGAGGTGGCATATCTCTAGCTTTTGCTTTTGTTTTCTGTTGCTTTATATTTAAAATATAAAGTTAAGGGTGTCTTAAGGCCAACAAGCCAAAGATGCGCCTACCCGAAACCAGACGCAGAAAGTTAGCGGCGTTGCAACACGCTATAATAGCGGCCGCAAGCGCGAAGGAGTGAAACGGGCGCAGGTCTCCGAACCCTAAGGTCTGAGGGTGTCAATTCACCGATAAATCCTCCGAAAGGAAGAATAACCCCGCCCGAAGCGATTATCCAACACCCGAAGGGTCCCGGTTGAAGCCAAACGCCGTAGGGTTGTACTTCATAAAAGATGCAATATCCCCAAGAAAGCGGGGGTAATGCACGGAGTAGCGATCGCGACAGTGAAAGAGGACGTGCTGGCAAGACTGCAAAGCAGCCCCACAAGTGCAGCCATGAGGCTCGTTGATCTTGAAGCGATGGTAATATGCTCCAATGGGTGCGTGGCCAGTTATACACCAGCAAACGCGAGCAAACTCAGTGATACTGTGTCCGAAAGTTGACAGCCAAGGTCCCCCATTGAGGTACGATGGCTGTAGCAGCTGCCCGTCAGGCTGTTGAAGCTCTAAGAATTCAGAGCCTTGGTAGGTTGGATCCTGGAAAGTGTAATTCCACGAATCCAGGACTGAGTGTGCGGCTTGGGAGCGTAGCGCGTCTATAGAGTTGTCCGTCTTGCGACGTCCAACCCTGACTTTGAGCTCGGTGATGTACTTGTGTGCTTCACCATGGATATCCCACCGCAGAGCAGATGGGACGTAGACGAAGGTAATGCGGCGGAGATCATCCGCCTCAAACCACTCTTTAAGAACGCGACAAACTGACAGGCTAAAAGCCTGACCAGAGTGCACGCCGGGGTCAACTGCTCTATGGGCCGAGCCCATGGAGTCGGTAAAGACCATAATATGTTGGCAGTTTGCCTGCTTGACCGCAAGGCGCACTGCGCACGAGATGGCATTGAGTTCCGCATCTGGGGCAGTAACTCTGCCAGAGACATAGCAAGTCCTCTCGAGCTTGCGGTGTCCCTTGTAGATGATGGCTGCCGAAGCTGCCTGATACTGGTTGGACTGAGGGACAGAGCCATCAGTTGCAGCCAGTACTGTTAGTGGGTCGGCCCTCGCTTTCGCGATGAGCTCGTCTAGATATGGACGCCTATCCTGGGTAGGATCGTGTTCGTCAAAGTGGAGATGGTCCGCATAGCGGTCCAGTAACTGATCGCCTGGGCGAGCCTCAGGCGCAAAAGGCTCAAAGCTCTCAGTTAAGGTGTGGACACGCTCGTCCACCTCCATAACGGTGCTCTTGACTTTCCCCCGCATGGCTGGGGTCATCAAGGCGGCTGAGCGGGCATGTGGTGCAGCTTGCTTAAGAAGTCCCTTGCCCATCATAGAGCGAAGAGGGTGAGTGTCCGAGAGGGTGGGGCCACGGTACACTGCGTGTGTTGCCAGCTTCTTCAGCATAAGGTGGACGGGGATGAGACCTGCTAAGGCCTCAAGACCGCCTGTGGGTGAGGTGTGGAAAGCACCCGTGATCCATAGAGCAGCTTTTCGCTGCATCCGTTTCAACTGGTTCATCGCGCCCTTATTGCGGGCGCCATCAAAGTACCAGAGACGATAGCCGTATGTGGCAATAGGAACCACGCACGACCTATATAAGAGGCGGCGCTGTTTAGGCGAGAGCCCTCTAGTAGAGTTCCCGAGCATGCGCATGGCCTGCACAGTGGTAAACGCCTTGGTGGTGTAGTAGTGAATGTGCTCATGAAAAGTAAGCCCGCAGTCAAAGTAGAAGCCCAAGTACCTCCAATAGGTCTTGGGCTTCAAGGGTGTAGCACCGGTATGTGGGGCGTACCCCAAATCCAGCGAGGGATTGTAGGCGTCTCGTCGACGCGAAAAGTGGAACAACTCGGTCTTGTCGTGTTCAAGAACGAGCGCGAAAGCAACAAAGAGCAGGTAGATAATTTTGTAGGCCTTACGCAGGCCCACATTATTATCATCAAGTTGTTTGGATTGGGCCAGAATGGTCCCATTTTTTTTTTTTGATCAACAATTTATATAGCGGTGCTCGGTGGCAGCCCGCTCGCTATCTACAAACACGTACACTACGCGGCCTGGGTACTAAGTAAACCACTAAAGGACGTCTGCCCCCCCAACCACAAGCCTTATGGCTCAAACGCCGAAGCTCCCATAAAGCCAGACCCACCTTGCGAAAACGGTGACACGGGATAAGGGGAAGAGACCATCGAGGCCCCGCTAAACCCCAAAGTCGTCAAACGCTGTTCGGAGGCCACGCAGCGCAAATGAAATAAGAGAGCACCACCCGGGAGGTGGCAAGGTGTCTTGAGGCCGACAAGCCAGAGATGCGCCTGCCCGAGACCAGACGCAGAAAGTTAGCGGCGCCGCAACCCGCTACAATAGCGGCCGCAAGCGCGAAGAAATAGCGGCAGGCAAAGGTCTTCGAACCCTAGAGCTCGGT